TGTGCGTGACAACTAATGGGACTTTAACTTTAACTTTAACAAATGCACATTTGTGGCTTGCTCAACGTCATTTAGCAAAGGCGGATGTACTGATCCTATGGCTGTGTTGTTACTCTCCTGCAGTCTCCTCAGTCTCCTGATGTGCTGGCCCGTCCCATACTCTGGACACTACACTGACAGACCCAGCAAACCTTATTGCCACAGTGCCATCATGGATGAGCTGCCCTGCCACTAGAGTGGAAGCAGCACCAGCATTCAAAAGTGACCCAAACATCAGCCAGAAAGCATAGGAACTGAGAAGTGGTCTGTGGTCACCACCTTTTGAATGCTCCAATGATACTAGGAGCTAAGTTGTCTGAGGCTTTATGCCCCTGTTTGGGTTGCCCTCTGGAGCCAAGCTTGGAGGTGGGGCACGTTGGCGAGTGCATGGTGGCTAGGCTTTCACCCATGGAGCCTGGAAGGGGTGAAAACACTAGTTGCCCCCAATCTTGTTGCCTGTACGTTGGGGTTTACCCTGGTGAAAGAGAAGGTAGTCTCTTTCTGCCTACATGTGGGGGGGATAGGTCCTGACGTATTGTGAGGGTCTGTTGGGAACGTCTATCAGAGTCTCCTGTCAGAAGGAGCTTCAAATCCCACCTCCGACATAACTTCTAAAACATTCCGAGGGAAGCGGGGGACATTGTCTGAGTGTGCCCTGTTTTGTTCTTCCATTGTCAAGGCTGCTGGCCTGGAGCTGTGGCCACAGGGTCGTCTGCGGCTGTCATGGCGACAACCCCCGAAGCCGCTGGTGGACACCAGCAGTTAGAGATACAGTCAAGCTGAAGAAAGAGTCCTATCAGGTCTTGTTGTCCTGTAGGACTCCAGAGGCAACTGATTTTGTGATCTTGCGAGATTGGCAAGGAAAGCGGTAGAAAAGTCACTCTGCAGCGGAGACTCCCCCGGTGTGGATTGGCGCAGAGCAGGAGTGGGGAACCCTGGTCCTCGAGGGCCGGTATCCTGCATGTCTTTGCTCCAACACTTCTGATTCCATGGTTGATTCACCTGTTCAGCAGCTCATCAGGCTCTGCGGAAGCCTGTTAATCACCTGCTGATTGAAATCAGGTGTGCTGAAGCAGGGTTGAAACTAAAATATGCTGGATAGCGGCCCTCGATGGACCAGGGTTCCCTACCCCTGGCGCGGAGCAAAGAACGCAAGTAAACCGTTCCGCCGCCGTTCTGCGCCGCTGATGCCTCCAGTGTGAAGTCGGGGTAAGTCTTATTCTGACCCTGAACACTTCAGGACACTCGACTGTGAGCAGTTTTGTCTTTCCAAACACTTTAAGCCTGTTTTAGATGATTTTCCCTTATTTTGGTTTGTCAGGAATGTGAGTGGCCTCTGCCTCATCCCACACACACACACACACACACACACACACACACACACACACACACACACACACACACACACACACACACACACACACACACACACACACACACACACACACACACACACACACACACACACACACACACACACACACACACACACACACACACACACACACCTCCCTACCCTCCACAGCACCACGTCAGCCCCCTTGTGCACCCCATGCATGGGGACACTAGTGTGTGTGTGTGTGTGTGTGTGTGTGTGTGTGTGTGTGTGTGTGTGTGTGTGTGTGTGTGTGTGTGTGTGTCACAGTGGCGGATGGCCTCGGCCACATAGGACGCAGCCGCTGTGCTTCACCTTTGCGGGACGGGTTCCACACGTGTCCCCCACCCCTCTTTGTTTTATCATATAACAGTAGGCTAGCATCCCGCTTTTCCACAAGAAAAACTCTCTCCCTCCCCCCATTCTCTCCCCCATCCGCACTCTCTCCAGCGTACTTGTGGGACTAAAGAAAACAAGGAAAAACAAAAACGGGAACAAGTGACAGAAGAAGCCCGTCGCCGGGACGGAGACGTGCCTCGGAGGGTAAGCAGGTGGATTCTGGAGTGATGGGGAAGAGGGAGGGAAGAGGAGGGATTATCATCCTTCCACCTGCTGGATTATCAGCACCTCTTGTGATGCGTTCACGTCCCTGTGGGAAACAGGAAGCAACTGTGTTTTCTGCAGCCTTGGAGGAGTTTTGATGATATGTTGCTGTTATTTGAAATGCTTCATCAGAGAGGCTGAATCTCATTTTGAGTGTTTTTGTTTCATACATCTTGATTGGAGGAAAGTGAAATTTGGGTCAAATAGAATCAGAATCAGAGAATCAGAGAGAATTTTATTGCCAGCGCTCCAGCGAACCAGAGCATAGGAACTTGACTCCACAGAACAGCCTGACCAAGATTACACACACACACATCTAGACAGGACAGATACAGGCAGACCACGAGAGCAGCCATGATCGCTTGTTTTATTTAAATGTAAGCTGGTTTGAAATAGTTAGTTTTGGCAAGATTTTCTGCATAAACATATTTTAACATTGAAGCAAAAAACAGAGAAAGTCCCTTTTGCAAAAATAAAACAAGCCATAATTATTCCTTTTTACCTGGAGGAGGGTTTTGTCTTCACGTCTGTTTCATTTTGTTTGGCATCATTATTATATTAATGATATTTTTGGTATATTTTGCTCCTTTTTGGCACAATTACACATTTTCATTCTTCAATAAAATCCAGCCATTTCACAACCTGCATGCTCTTTGCATTTTAGGCACATTTTTGTAACTTTTAATCTTTTTATTTATTTATTTATTTATTTACTTTAATGTAGTTTGAAATGTCTGCGTTTCCTTGAAATTCTGCAGAATGACAGTGGAGGATTTGGCATGTAACCAGTAAACCGGCTTAAGTGTTTGTAAATAAGAAGCGATTTGGCTGACTGGGTAGATGTCAAAGCATTTATTGTGCACATCTTTTTTCAAACGGGGTTTTTTGGGGTGCAAGTGGCAGCCCAAGAGTTAACTCTTTGGGCTGTTTTAGGACAAAGACCTCTGATCCATCAAAGCACCCACCAGCCAGGACAATGTCCATCTGGCAGCTTCTCTATTGTCCGCGCTGACCGCTGGTATTTCATCACGTCAACACATCATGTACATCTGCACTGGTAGATTGGATTTATCAGACACTGTCAGGGGGGTTTGTAGGCTGAACTCTGGATGAAATTGTTAGGTTTGAGTGCAACAGTGACTGTTTTTTAAGTTTGAAACCAAAGGAGTTAAAGGAAGATGTCATGGAGAGCACTGTAACCACGAATATTTCAGTTTATAGTTTTATTTACAGGTAAATAATTCACTTTTCATGCAGCTGGATTAATGCTCCTCACACAGGATGTTACAGGAAGCATTGGCGGAGGTGGCATTCCAGTCAGTGATTTTTACCGTTAAAGGTGTGTGTGTGTGTGTGTGTGTGTGTGTGTGTGTGTGTGTGTGTGTGTGTGTGTGTGTGTGTGTGTGTGTGTGTGTGTGTGTGTGTGTGTGTGTGTGTGTGTGTGTGTGTGTGTGTGTGATATCAGTGAATCCCAGGAAAACATTTGCCCCCCTCAGCATTCCTGGGATGTGATGAGTCGAGCATTCAACGGGGACAAACCTGTTATCCACTCATTCACCTCGTACAGATGGCCAGCCATTGTCTAGGAACCAGCCGGCCCTGTAGCACACACACACACACACACACACACACACACACACACACACACACACACACACACACACACACACACACACACACACACACACACACACACACACACACATACACACACACACACACACATACACACACACACATACACATACACACACACACACACACACACACACACACACACACACACACACACACACACACACACACACACACACACACAGACAATTACATCCACAGGCAAATTATCAGAGTGAAAAATAAAAGGTCGTCAAAACACTCTACTATGGTACCTCTACTACTTAAGCCAGCGTCGAGTATCCTGGTGCTAACCTTCTTTCTTTTAAATCATAATTGCTTATTTTTGCTCATTTTACATATATTTTTAAACATTTTCTAAATGCTTTTTTATATTTTTACATTTTTATTTTTTTATTTTTTGTTTTTGTTTTAGTGAAGCGCCTCGTGATTTTTATCTTGAGAGGCGCTATAGAAATGATATTTTCTTCTTCTTCTTCTAAATAGAACTAGAAATTCACCAGATTATACATATTATAGGATATTTTGAAACAAAACCATGTTTGCGCAGACATAAGTGGAGTCTAAAGGTCTTATTCCTAGAGGAATGGGAGTAGATCTGAAAATATTCTTCGGGGTGACAAGTAGAAAGTACATAGGGTGTACATTCCTTGAAAAGAAGCATTTTAGTACTAAATGAAGCTAAACAAAAGCTATTATTATTATTATTACATTGCTTTTAAACTTTGCTGTTTATTGGTTTTACCATATGTAAGCTATTGTGCAGATATTTAGGACTGTAGACGCAAAATATCTTTAAAGACTAAGTCACCCTCTACAAGAGTCTTACTCCACCCACATCTGTTTGAAAAATGCACCACAAGGAGGTGTTGCATGGCACACTGGGAGTGTGGATCTTTGGCAGAGAGGGACACCGACTGCTAACCCTATCCCCCTCACGTCGGAGACTCTGCAACGTCTCAGTGTACCATTTTAGCTATTTCGATTGGCTGATTCAAATTCAATGCTGGCATGGTGCATTTATAAGACACACCGTTGCGGTAATATTACGCCGATGTGCCGGCATGGTGTGTCATGTAAAAAGGGCTATTTTTGCAGATCATCAGCAAAAATAGATTTTATTTGGGGGTGACTTGCTCTTTAAATTCACTGGTTAATTTTGATCTGTTCACTAAGGTTCAAGACAACAGACGTTATTTTACAGCTTTAAACATAAAAACTAGCAAAGGAGTCGGGGTGGGGGTGGGGGGGGGGGTATAACATAACTTTTTTACTGTACTTCTAGAAATGTGTTTGTATTTCGGTGTGTGAGTGGAGTTAAACTATGGAATAAGTGATAATCCTCCACTTGAGGTAGGACCTCTCTCCCGACCCAGAGTTGGCAAGCCACCCTTTTCCGGTCGAGAACCATGGTCTCAGATTTGGAGGTGCTGATCCTCATCCCAGCCGCTTCACACTCGGCCGCGAACCTACCCAGCAAGAGCTGAAGGTCAGAGCTGGATGAAGCTAGGAGGACCACATCATCCGCAAAAAGCAGAGACGAGATTCTCCTGCCACCAAACTCGACACACTCCACACCACGGCTGCGCCTAGAAGTTTAAAATTTGTAGTTTTTAAAAATCCTCCTGCTCCTTTCTGGTAGGCTGGACTTGTGATGCTGTTCACCAGCCTCCTGACTTTCTCTACAGGCCAGAAAATCGAGTGAAGCATGGGTGACTGGAGCTCTCTGGGGCGGTTGCTGGAGAATGCTCAAGAACACTCCACTGTGATTGGAAAGGTGAAAAACGTTCCTTCGCTTTACGACGTTGAGTTACACATTATTTCAACTCTTCGCTTCTTTTTACAGACTTTTTACTTTCCTTAAAGCAAGACTACGACTCTTTGTAACAACCTCATCAATGTCATAAATTTCTTTACTAACTGCTGCTTTCCTACTTTTTTTATTCCAGGTCTGGCTCACTGTCCTTTTTATTTTCCGCATCTTGGTCCTGGGCGCAGCAGCTGAAGAGGTTTGGGGTGACGAGCAGTCGGACTTTACCTGTAATACACAACAGCCCGGTTGTGAGAACGTCTGCTATGACGAGGCCTTCCCCATCTCCCACATCCGTTTCTGGGTGCTGCAGATCATCTTCGTCTCCACGCCCACACTCATCTACCTGGGTCATGTGTTACACATCGTCCGAATGGAGGAGAAGAGGAGGGAGAGGGAGGAGGACCTGAGAAAGACCGGACAGCACCAAGAGGACCATGACCCTCTGTATCACAATGGGATCGTCAATGGAGGAGGAAGACGCGGGAAGAAGGAGAAACCCCCAATCCGAGATGAGCATGGGAAGATCTGTATCCGTGGGGCGTTGCTAAGAACCTACATCTTCAACATCATCTTCAAGACTCTGTTTGAAGTGGGCTTCATCCTGGGACAGTACTTCCTGTATGGCTTCCACCTGAAGCCGCTGTATAAATGTGGCCGATGGCCCTGCCCCAATACTGTGGACTGCTTCATCTCCAGGTTAGAGACGACTGTATTCTTCCAGACTATAAATGAGCAAATTACCTTTTTTTGACTATTTTATTCATATTGATTATGGAAACAAGAGGGTAGCGCACCTCCTGCCCTAGGCTCATGCGTCAGCATAACAAACTATTTACCAGAGCTGATGTTGTTCCTCTTTGGTTCGGATAATGGTTTAAGGAGAAGCCATAATCTCTTTTTCATACTGTATCTTTCAAACATTTGAGGAGAAATTTGTTATTAAAGATTAAACCTCTTTGTCCACCAGACCCACTGAAAAGACGATCTTCATCATCTTCATGCTGGTGGTGGCGTGTGTCTCCTTGGCCCTCAACCTACTGGAGATCTACCACCTGGGCTGGAAGAAGGTCAAGCATGGTGTCACCAAGGACTTTGTCCCTGACAGTCAGTCGCTGCTAGGTATCGATAAGTCGAGAGATGCCGAGATGATTCCTGTACAGATGTCTCCACCGGTTCCAATGTATGCTAAGGTGTGTGTGGAGGATGGAGAAGCTGGGGAAGGAGCGTATAGTCAAACTGAGACCACACACACAGTGATCCCCCCAAAACCTTACACACCTACACCTGCGGGATCCACGATGGACGGTGTTGCGATCCACCCAGATGACTTCCTGTTGGGAGCTTCTTCTTTCTACGACAAAGGTGAGCGTTTGGGAAGCGATGTGCGCCTAGTAGAAAATCAGCAAAACTGGAACAACACAACTTTGGAGCTCCACAATCTGGATAGAAGAAATTCCTCCTACCCCCCTTCTCCTCCCTCTCCTCTCACCTCTGGCTCCTCCTCTCCTGAGGACGAAATGGCGCTGTCACAAGAAAGGCAGCTCTCAATGTTTCCCACGCTCCCTCGCAACACCCCTCTTTCTCCCCTCGCACCGGAGGAGATGAAGATGGAGGCAGGTGAGGACATGTCTGTCACCTCAGCACCTTGCACGGTGCAACATGATGACTTCACTGTGATAACCAGGGCAGAGTTGCATCAGCCACCTGCGGCTTCAGGGACAGACTTCAGGAAGCCAAGTTGGGGAATCAGGAGCGGCGGTGCTCGAGCTCGCCCCGACGATCTGGCGGTGTAGCTAAAAAGTACACACTCAAACATTTCCACAACAATGCATACATGCATTAAAGAAGTTGCAATATTTTCTTGTTAAAATACACCCAAGCAAGGTTTGCAACACTGTGTATGAGAGATAGCATTTTCATGTCCGTGTGAAAACTAAGGAGCTGGAGGGTCGACCAGCCGTAACGCATAGATGGGAAAAGAAACCGCGAGCCCAGGTCACTTTAAAGCTCAGTCTGTGGGGTAAAGTAGCTCCAGAGCTTAATCATTATTTTTATTTATCTATTGTAAGCTACAAAATGCATATTTCGATTGTCAGTAAAAAAAAAAACTGCTACCACATTTTGGAACAATACAAATACACTAAGGATGCAGCTATTGCCTGTCCTAAAGGTCACGATTTCGTAAACACCCAATTTGTTTAACTTACACGATGCCCTAAGAGAGACATGACATGAGTTCAAAACACCAAACTTCAGACCTGCGCGAGTCATTTAGAGAATGGACAGAGGGATGAAGACCTCCTGCTCTGACTACATCTGGGAGGGGAACTTGCATGAAGACTGGGCTGCTTGTGAATGCTTTGGGATGGGCCCATGGCAGCATTATTTGTTTGTAGAGAAATAAGTTGATAAAGGAGTCATAATACTTGCTAAATATAATGACAAAGCCACTGAGTTGGCAACAGTGGTACAGCTCAGTGTTAAACTCCCAGCACTACTTGTATTTACACCCACCACTTTTATTCCGTACTGGTTCACTTTGCAAACTGAATTGTCTTCCATACCCCACATTTCCCATTGTTTGACAAGACTAGGGAGCACCAAGTGCTGAAAAAAGACAAAGGATACATTGCCTAAAGGAAACATTTAAGCAGTTTTAGTGGTAGATATTGCAGAAGATATGGCAAAAACAAATGTTATCATTACTGAGCTCAGCGTGGTCTAAAATTTGTGAAGAAAGCATGCCATTCCAAACACTGTACAAATCTGATGAGACTGGTCCATTCATTAGCATTTTTGGGTTTTAAACTGGACTTTTCCCCACAAACATCACATAGAAGTGTTTCTTCCGGTATTAAATTACCATTGAAGGAGTTTGTTAGCTCTGGTCTCAGCTGGTAGAAGACATTGACATACATAATAACTAAATGAAGAAACATACTTCAAAGTATCTGAAACACCCAAAGGTGGCTGCAGTTTAGATCACATCCCTCCAAATATATGAATGGGCCATTTTCCTGACTAAAAACTGTGCTGCTACTACTACTACTATGACTGTCCTATGATTGTGTGTGGGGGTAGGTAGGACTTTCAACCCAATTTATCAAACATGCAAACTCCAAAATTTAAATATGGCAATTCTTGTAAACAGGTCATTTTGGCTTCATGTTTAAACATCAGAAGTTGGTCGAGAGTCCGAGTTGGTGTGTGAGGTTGAGAGGTTCCAACTAGATATATTCAGACTCACCTTGGTGCATTGCTCTGGAACCAGTGTCCTTGAGAGGGCTTGGACACCACCACTCTGGAATTAACCCCACTGAGAGGCATCGAGCAGAGATGGGCCTACTAGTTGCCCCCAGTCTTGGTGCCTAAATGTTGGGGTTTACCCAGATGAACGATAGGGTGGCCTCCCTCCGCCGATGTGTGGGGGGATGGGTCGCAACAGTATTTTGCGCTCATGCATCAAACTGCAGGTCAGAATACCCACTCTTTTAGAATCCTTAGAGGGGGCGCCGAACAACGCTCGTTCCAGCGACTCACTTGTTCTGCCGGGGGACTTTAACAGTCACATGGGCAATGACAGTGAGACTTGGAGGGGTGTGGTTGGGAGGAACGGCCTCACTTCCAGTGAGGAAGTGGAGTCTGGGCACTTTGGGTTGGGCTCTCCAGTTTCTGGAGCTGAGGTCACTGAGGTGGTCAAAAAACTCCTCAATGGCAAGGCTCTGGAGTTAGACGAGATCCGCACAGAGTTCGTTAAGGCCCTGGATGTTGTAGGGTTGTGCTGGCTGACACAGATCTGCAGTGTCCCATGGACATTAGGGGAAGTTCTGGATTGGCAGACTGGGGTGATGGTCCCCCCTGTTTAAAAAAGGGTAACTGCAGGATGTGTTCCAACTTCAGGGGGATCACACTCCTGAGCCCCCCTTGTAAGGTCTATTATAGTCAAACTTCTGATTCAGGAGGAGCAACATGGTTTTCCTAGCCGTGGAACAATGGACCAGCTCTATACCCTAAGGGGGTCCTGGAGGGTGCGTGGGAGTTTGCCAAACTAATCTACATGTGTTTGTGGATTTGGAGAAGGTGTTCGGCCGCGTCTATCTGGAAGCCCCGTGAGGAGTTCTTCAAGAGAATGGGGTACCAGGCACTTTGATATGGACTGTTAGGTCCCTGTATGACCGGTGCCAGAGCTTGGTCCATATTGCCGGCTGTAAGTCGAGCTTGTTTCCGGTGAGTGTTGGACTCCACCAAGGCTGCCGTTTGTCACAGATTCCGTTCATAACTTTTGTGGAGAGGATTTCTAGGTATGTCCAAGACATTGAGGGGATTCATTTTGGTGGCCTAAGGATCAGGTCTCTGATTTTTGCAGATGATGTGGTCCTGTTGGGATGAGAATCAGCTCCTCTAAATCCGAGAACATGGTCTTGAATCGAAAAAGGGTTGACTGCCTACTCCAGGTCAGGGACAAGGTCCTGCCTCATGTGGAGGAGTTTAAGTATCTCAGATTCTTGTTCACAAGTGAGGGAAAGGGGGAGCACAAGATCGATAGGCGGTTTGGTGATGCGTCTGCAGTAATGTGGGCTTTGTACCAGTCTGTCTCTTAATTTACTGGTCGATATACATGCCTACCCTCATCTATGGTCACAAGCTTTGGGTAGTGACTGAAAGAACAAGATTGTGGATACAAGCGGCTGAAATGTTTTTTTCTCCACAGGGTTTCTGGGCTCTCCCTTAGAGATAAAGTAAGAAGCTTAGTCATCTGTTAGGTGCTTGAAATAGATCCACAGCTCCTTCACATCGAGAGGAGCCATTTGAGGTGGCTCGGACATCTGGTTTAGGATGCCCCCTGGATGCCTCCCTGGTGAGGTTTTTCAGGGCATGTCCAACTGTGGGGAGACCCAAAGGAAGACTCGGGACACGCTGAAGGAGCTTTGTTTCTCAGCTGACCAGGGAACGCCTTGGGACTCCCCCGGAGAAGCTGGCCCAAGTAGCTGGGGAGAGGGATGTCTGGGCCTCTGCCTAGGCTGCTGCCCCTGCAACCCAACCCCGGATAAGCAGAGGAAAATGGATGGATGGAAGTTTGTCAAGACACTATGTATGTACAGTATTTTATGTAAGTTGAGTAAAAACATGGCGTTGATACAAATGCTAAAACAGAAATTTCTCATGCATATAGAGGTTGCAAGAACGGGCATTAAAGCAGAACTCACTGTAAAGTCACACTAATGTCTGTGATATATTGCTAGATTTCAAGTATTGCTAAATAGAAGGCTTGCTCTCATGGCAAATTTGTGTGACAGAAGTTTCCCATGGACAGACTAGAGCAGTGGTTATCAAGCCTGATCCTGGTGAGCCGTTGTCCAGCGTATTTTTGTTTTAACCTTGCTTCAACACACCAGATTTCCACCAGCAGGTGATTAGCAGGCTTCTTAAAGCTTGATGAGCGTCTGCACAGGTGTTTCAACCAGTGAATCAAGTATACTGGAGCAGAGGAAATACAAAACATGCTGGAAACCGGTCCTGCAGGACCAGGATTGAGAACCACTGGACTAGAGTTCAAGTTAGCCAAGAGAGAATGTTTTTCCCGCTCTTTCTTATGCTGCTGTGCTAATTTGTTTAGGTGATAGCTAGCCTTGCTACTTCTCATAGATTCAGATAACAGGCAAAATGACATTTTTGGAAGGCATTTAGCTTCTCATCTCAGAATTTTTATCAACTGAAAGCAAAAAGAGCTAATTTCTTAAACTTTAGTGTAGCTGGTCTGCTAATGCAGGACTTCCATGCCCTGGTTGCCTGACAACCATTGCTAGCATATTTCCACGTTACTTTTACTGCTTTGTATTTGTAGTTAAGGCTGAATGGCATCGATCTAGCTCTGAGAAACTAAGATTGACAAGAAGCAAATTATCTGAAACATCCTTTCATTTCAGTTTGTTGAAGCTAGTTGAGGGAGGTCGAAATGTGATCTACCATTAGAATAATTAAAAAGCACACTTATACATCTAGAGTACATTTGGTGCAGACTGAAATGTGAACTGAATAAAGGATGATGATATTTGGACTGAGGTACATTTAGGAGCACAAAGGCAGTGGTAATATTTATTTCATTTTATTGCTGAGAGACATTCATTGAAAGGTTTGCACTTTTATTTCCTATTTTGATAATTTTTTGTGATGATAGAACTTATTGGTTTATGGGTCTGTTGTTTGTCTTCCTGTAATGTTCTCTAGCAGCCTGTAGTTTCAATGAAGAGAGGGATGCACTTCCCAAAAAAAAAAAAACACAATAAAGCAATCCCACCCTGAGATACAAAGTCCTTAGGCTTTTCAGGTTGTGAGTGTGTGTTGTATTATCATTTATTTTTATGTTTACATAATGACATCGATGCAGTTACATCAGGGTTGAACTATATAAAGTTTATAAATATGTAAATATATTTAATTTTAATTCTGATATTCACCTCAAGGTGTTTTTCAGAAATTCCTGTATTTTAAAAAAGTTTGTCTGTTATCCAACTTTTACTAAGAAAACCCTCCGCTGGTCAGTTCAGCATTCAAAGACCTAAGACAAATGAAAATACACAGCAACAGGGAGGGAAAGTATTGCTTCACTGCTTCCATTTTGAGGCTTTTCAAATATTTGCAGCTTGAATAGGGAATAAAAAACTCGTACTTTTTCCTTATTGATTGTGTTTGCAGTGTTTTTGAGCTGTAGAGTCTCCCAAAAGTGTTTTGTAAGGGAAGACTATAATTTTTAGATTAGATGTAGAATTTATTACTCAGTCAAACGATTGTTTTTAGAAAGAAAAAAAATGAGAAAGCACAATGGAGTAAAAGATATTTCTTGTCGCTTCAGAAATTCTACAAATGATAATTTCTCTGTTATTTAATTTTTCTTGAACTACTAACCCCCCACCCACCCCACTAGGAAAGGATAAAAATATACGTGTCTTTTATCCTCGTGAAAGGTCTGGCAGAAGTGCTTTTCCTATGACCAGTTTCAGGCGTTTAAGAGGTTCTGCGTTACAATCAGATAAATTAGCAGCATTTTCCAAAACGACAATGCTGCTTTTTATTTTTTTACAGTGGTATTTAGCATTGGAAACATAATTATTCGTAAGAAAACAAACAAAAACAGGGCATGAATATTAAATGAGCTGCATGCTGATTGGCCAGTTTGCCCCTGTAATGTTAGATTAAATAGCATGAAGTCAGGCCATTTCATGGCGTTACACCCTGATGGCTCTTTGACTGCCTGAAGCTAGAAACTCTACAACTGTGTACTGTATCCAGATTACTCAACAGGTAAAACATGGATCCATCTGGCACATTATCTTTTTTTATTGGTCGGTTTTCTTTCCCCAAGCAATCTGGCTTTGTCCTCGTAATCTGGTTTGGACCTGGTACCCATTTTCCCCGGGTACCCCGGTTTTCTCCAAGTACTTTCTTTTTCTGGGCACTCTGGTTTTCTTCTGGCACTCGTTGTTTCCATTATCTGCAGTTTTCTCTGGTTCCTGGTGTTGCGGTTTTCTATAAGTACTTTGATTTTCCATGGTTACTCCAATTTTCTCCTTTTAGTCTGGTTTTCTCCAGGTACTACAGTATTTTCAGGTGTTCTGTACTTACTCCAGTTTTCTTTCAACACTCCACGTTTCTCCTGGGACCCTTTTTTGCTTCCGTTATTCAGATTTCTCCAAAGTATTCCAGTTTTATTTCAGGTATAATTTAGTTTTCTCTCTTTAACCAAAATTATATGTTAACTAATGTGGTTAAAATTGCCTCTGATGAAACTTTGTATGTACGGTAATTACTAAATCTCCTAGGAGTACAAGAGGCATCACTGTACATGGAGTTTGTGCTACTTCAAAGTTTTTCTGTTTTATGCATTCAAACTACTTTTAATTAGATTTCAAAGTTTGGTGTTAAAATGCTCAAATGTTGGAAGAGATTATGGTGGCACGCTTTTGACAAATATATTATAGAAACCGAGCCGTTGCTAAAATCAGCCTTCCCTCAACTACTGACATTCATTCTGTCATGAATGCATTCACCGGATTTCGCAAATTATTTCTAAACAAAAGGTAACAAATTAAGCCACAGATTTTGCACTTTGCTGTATTTTACTTTTACAACTACTAATAAATAAATAAATAAATAAATAAATAAATTAATAATAATCAGAGACTCTTCATGGACTGTGCCAACTGATTTTGATTGTAAAAAAAAATTAAGATTAGTCAGTTCTTTTTACAGATGTTACTTGATATTATCAAAAATATTGACTTAATCAAAGAGAATTTTCCCCAGTGAAGCAGTTGTGTTGAACTTTGTCCTGAAAGTTTGTTGAAACAAAGTTAATTTGACTACATTTTGCTGACATGCTCTTTCATAACCTTGTTTTTCAGTTGTTCTAGTTTTAAAACGTAGATACAGATTTGCACAGCTAAAATTACGGAGGCTATCGCGTCCTATCAGAGGGATAATCAAATGTTTTTGTTTAGATTTGGACATAACACAAAAAGGACATTGCTTCTAGACTGTAACTGGACCCTAGGTGATTGTTTGATTGTTTTCTGTTCTTAATACAGATTATAAGACTGTGGGCTTTGCAAGCGTTCTCACCATGTGCCTTTATCAGAAGTTAAAAAAGGAGAAATTGTGTTTTCAAGGATTTTCACCTAATAGAAGTGGATATATTTCTTATTTAGTTTCGATAACTCCTTCTGTCCCTTTGCATAAAATGACTTGTGAAGGAAGCAAAGTGCCTAGTGTCTGAACACGATGTTAAAGAACATGTTGATGTAAATGTTAATTTACCTCAAATGTTTACGGAATCGTTTCTGAATAAACTTTTTGTACCATAAACCTTATTTGTTCATCTTTGTTTATTACTTCTTTTTTTTTACCTATTTATTTGATTTGAACAAACTTAAAGGTGTGGAACAGAAGTGCTTCTATCAGCATGGAGAAGAAAGTAGTTTCAGATGACGGATTTGTCGAGAGGAAAATACAATCAATGCATACATCTTTTGTTTAAAAAAACACTTGTTTAGTAAACAATTCTAGCAGTTTTTGATCATTTATTTTTATGTATTCAATATGTGGCTTCCAACTGAGCCTATATGGTCTAAAATAACTCCCAAGAAATGTATTTCATATATCCTTCCAATTTCTACACCGTTTAGCTTTATTTTTATTTCACCGTTAGTCTCGACACTCCCAAAAATCACAAACATTTTCTTTAGGTGATCATTTATCAGTGTCCAACCAGTATTTTGACCTAACCAAGTCTTCTTCTACAAATGGACACCGGTGGCACAGGAGTTAAGTGCTCATCCCATAATCAGAAGGTTGCAGGTTCGAGCCCCGCTCAGTTTGTCGCTGTCGTTGTGTCCTTGGGCAAGACACTTAACCCACATTGCCTGCTGGTGGTGGTGAGAGGGACCGGTGGCGCCAGTGCTCGGTAGCCTCCCCTCTGTCAGTGCGCCCGAGGGCAGCTGTGGCTACATTGTAGCTCGTCCCCACCAGTGTGTGAATGTGTGTGTGAATGGGTGAATGACTGATTGTGTTGTAAAGCGCCTTGGAGGGGTTCCAGGACTCCAGAAGGCGCTATATCAAATACAGGCCATTTACCATTTACCATTACAAGTTTCAACAATACTCCTCCTTGAACCGTCACCTTATCGTGGTGGAGGAGTTTGAGTGCCCTAATGATCCTAGGAGCTATGTTGTCTGGGGCACTTAGTGCCCCTGGTAGGGTCTCCCATGACAAATTGGTCTTAGGTGAAGGGTGAGACAAAGAACGGTTCGAAGGATCTTTCATGGCGGTTAAAACGAAGAGTCGGAGTACCCGGCCCGGAGGGTTACCGGGGTCCCACCCTGGAGCCAGGCCTGGGGTTGGGGCCCGTGAGACGGGAGGCGGGAGCCTTGGCGGTCCAATCCCCGGACAAGAAAACTAGTTTTTGGGACATGGAATGTCACCTCGCTGGCGGGGAAGGAGCCGGAGCTTGTGGCAGAGGTTGAGCGGTACCGGCTAGATATAGTCGGACTCACCTCGACACATTGCATTGGCTCTGGAACCCGAGACCTGGAGAGGGGTTGGACACTCTACTTTGCTGGAGTTGCTCCGGGTGAGAGGCGGAGGGCTGGGGTTGGCTTTTTGTTAGCCCCGAGACTCTCTGCCTGTGTGTTGGGGTTTACCCCGGGGGACAAGAGGGTAGCTTCCTTGCGCCTTCGGGTCGGGGAACGGGTCCTGACTGTTGTTTGTGCTTATGGGCCAAATATCAGTTCAGAGTACCCACCCTTTTTGGAGTCCCTGGGACGAGTGCTAGATAGTGCTCCATCAGGGGACTCCATTGTCCTGCTGGGGGACTTCAATGCTCACGTGGGCAATGACAGCTTGACCTGGAGGGGTGTGATTGGGAGGAACGGCCCACCTAATCTGAACTCGAGCGGTGTTTTGTTATTGGACTTCTGTGCAAGCCACAGTTTGGCCATAACGAACACCATGTTCGAACATAAGGATGCCCACCGGTACACTTGGTACCAGGGCAGCCTAGGTCACAGGTCGATGATAGATTTTGTAGTCGTATCATCGGACCTGCGGCCGTATGTTTTGGACACCCGAGTGAAGAGAGGGGCGGAGCTGTCAACTGATCACCACCTGGTGGTGAGTTGGATCAGATGGCAAGGGAACATGCCGCGTAGACCTGGCAGACCCAAACGCATAGTGAGGGTCTGCTGGGAACGCCTGGCAGAAGAACCTGTCAAGACGGTCTTCAACTCCCACCTCCGGCAGAGCTTTGACCACGTCCCGAGAGCAGTGGGGGACATTGAGTCCGAGTGGGCCTTGTTCCACTCTGCGATTGTCGAGGCGGCTGTTGCTAGCTGTGGTCGTAAGGTGGCCGGTGCCAGTCGTGGTGGCAACCCCCGTACCCGCTGGTGGACACCAGAGGTTCGGGGAGCAGTCAGGCTGAAGAAGGAAGCCTACAGGGCATGGCTGGTCTGTGGGTCTCCGGAGGCAGCAGACAGGTACCGGATAGCCAAGCGGGGTGCAGCAGTGGCAGTTGCCGAGGCAAAATCTCGGGCGTGGGAGGAGTTTGGTGAGGCCATGGAGAAAGACTATCGATCGGCTCCAAAGAGGTTCTGGCAAACTGTCCGGCGCCTCAGGAGAGGAAGGCAGCAACTCGCTCACACTGTTTACAGTGGGGATGGGGAGCTGCTGACGTCAACTGAGGCTATAGTCGGACGGTGGAAGGAATACTTTGAGGAGCTCCTCAATCCCACCAATGCGCATTCCGAGGAGGAACCAGAGCTGGGAGGCCTGGGGATGGACTGTCCGATCTCGGGGGCAGAAGTTGCTGAGGTAGTCAAACAACTACACAGCGGCGGAGCCCCGGGGGCGGATGAGGTTCGTCCTGGGTATCTCAAGGCTATGGATGTTGTAGGGCTGTCATGGTTGACACGTCTCTACAACATTGCGTGGTCATCGGGGGCAGATCCTAGGGAGTGGCAGACCGGGGTGGTGGTCCCCATCTTTAAGAAGGGTGACCCGAGGGTGTGTTCCAACTATAGGGGGATCACACTCCTCAGCCTCCCTGGAAAGGTCTACGCCAAGGTACTGGAGAGGAGGGTCCAATCGATAGTTGAATCGCAGATAGAGGAGGAGCAATGTGGTTTTCGTCCTGGCCGTGGAACTGTGGACCAGCTCTATACCCTTGCAAGGGTGATGGAGGGGGCATGGGAGTTTGCCCAACCAATCCACATGTGCTTTGTGGATTTGGAGAAGGCTTATGACCGTGTCCCCAGGGGCACCCTGTGGGGGACGCTCCAGGAGTATGGGGTGGGTGGCTTTCTGTTAAGGGCCATTCAGTCCCTTTACCAGAGGAGCGTGAGTTTGGTCCGCATAGCCGGTAGTAAGTCGAACCTGTTCCCAGTGAGGGTTGGACTCCGCCAGGGCTGCCCTTTGTCACCGGTTCTGTTCATCACTTTTATGGACAGAATTTCTAGACGCAGCCGTGGTGTGGAGTGTGTCGAGTTTGGTGGCAGGAGAATCTCGTCTCTGCTTTTTGCGGATGATGTGGTCCTCCTAGCTTCATCCAGCTCTGACCTTCAGCTCTTGCTGGGTAGGTTCGCGGCCGAATGTGAAGCGGCTGGGATGAGGATCAGCACCTCCAAATCTGAGACCATGGTTCTCGACCGGAAAAGGGTGGCTTGCCACCTCCGGGTCGGGGGAGAGGTCCTACCTCAAGTGGAGGAGTTTAAGTATCTCGGGGTCTTGTTCACGAGTGAGGGTAGGAGGGATCGGGAGATCGACAGGCGGATTGGTTCGGCGTCTGCAGTGATGCGGACGCTGAGCCGATCTGTCGTGGGGAAGAGGGAGCTGAGCCAGAAAGCCAGGCTCTCGATTTACCGGTCGATCTACGTCCCAATCCTCACCTATGGTCATGACCTTTGGGTAATGACCGAAAGAACGAGATCGCGGATACAAGCGGCCGAAATGAGTTTCCTCCGTAGGGTGGCTGGGCTCAGCCTTAGAGATAGGGTGAGGAGCTCGGACATTCGGGAGGGACTCGGAGTAGAACCGCTGCTCCTCCGGATCGAAAGGAGCCAGTTGAGGTGGTTTGGGCATCTGGTCAGGATGCCTCCTGGACGCCTCCCCGGGGAGGTGTTTCGGGCATGTCCTGCCGGCAGAAGGCCCCCGGGTCGACCCAGGACACGTTGGAGAGGTTACATCTCCAATCTGGTCCGGGAACGCCTTGGGGTCCTGCCGGAGGAGCTGGTGGACAAGGCCGGGGAGAGGACGGCCTGGAGCTCCCTAATTGGGATGCTGCCCCCGCGACCCGGACCCGGATAAGCGGAGGAAGACGAAGACGAAGAAGTTTCAACAATACTCTAATATCCAAATCTGTAGAAAACAACTTTGTGTCATCTGCAAATGTAATGAATTGTAACTTTTTGAGTAGCATCCCAGTATCATTTACATAAAGCATAAAGAACGTGGGCCCAAATACAGAACCTTGTGGAACACCCCAAGTAACTCTGACATAGTATAATTTAACTTGACACATTGAAATCTATTGCCTAAGTCCTTACCCAATTAAGTGTAACTCCACTTAAACCATAACACACCAGTTTATGTAAGACAAAAGAATGGTTAATTGTATCAAACGGTTTTCGTAGATCAATAAAAACCCTGTCAGTATATTGTTTATTTTCCACAGTTGTAGCTATATTTCAAACTAATTCCATCCCTGCTAACGGTGTTGATCGATTACTCCAAAACCGACATTGATGATTACTCAGCATATTATATTTCTTAATAAAAGTATCTAATCTGTTAGCAAACAAATTTTCAAGTATTTTAGCAAATTGAGGTGATGATGACACAGGTCTGCAGTTTGAAATGATTTGCTTGTACCCATTCTTATAAATTGGAATAGCTATTTTAATTTTTATTTTAGGAAAAATACCTGTTGAAAATGATTTATTGGAAATGTAAGAAAATGATTTGACATAATTAATAACTTCCTTTATTGATGACATGTCAACTGAATTGTTCTCTGTTGACGATTTACTTTAGAACTTTTGAGCTACTTCTAAAGCCTTGCTCTCACTAACCCCACCAATAAACACTGAGTTTTTTATATTAACGCACATATCCATTCTATGGTAAATGGTCCACAACCCTGATTCACTTGCAAGTTTGGGACTATATTCACAAAATAGTCATTAAACTCATTAGCGATTACCTCAGTAGTTTCAATAATTACATTTTCTTCATTTTTAGTGTATGTTGGGTAATTAGTAGTACTGGAGCCTTTAACCAACCCGTTAAGCCCTAAAATACCCACAATATTTTCTTCATGTTTCTCATAGTAATTCGTTTTTATTTTGCAATATGAAAATCAAGGTCAAATCTGTATTTGATAAAAATTGAAATATGAAATATGAATTTCAATCTGGGCTATTTTCAAAAAAGACAATGATAAGTTAAACATTGCAAAATGAGCTAAGTCAGGAGCCATTTTTGACTAACTTTTGACAATACCAACATGTACAAGTCACGCAAAAGAAGTGTTTTCGCTCAAGTCGTTTAAAGTCCAAAACCATGGCATGCATATATGTGATAATGTTTTTATCCATGTTTGAATGTGTGTGTGTCCTCATGGTCTAGGTGAAGCAGTGCTGAGGCCAGCGCTTCCTTTATGCTGGCTGAAAGTCCCGGGGATTTTGGTTCAACAAAAACCTCTCCAGGGAGTGAAAAGGACTTGCATGCCTACTAATGCTGTCCCGACCTCTGGATGGGCTGCAGTGTGTGTATGCTCCATTATGGGCAACGGCAATTTATTTTACTGTACGGTGCAATAATTTTGAGAGTAGAGCATAAATACCATTTTTTTATGATAATTGAGCTTAAACTTTAGGAGGGTTTAGTATCCAAGTCCTTGTTGTTCCAACGGATGTATCGACATTAACGAAATCTAAAAAGTCATTAATCAATCAATTTATTTTGTGATTTCAGAGATAATTAAAAAGCTCAACTCATGACAAAAAGGCTAAAATGATGAATATGTTGGTAACAGAGGTAAGGATGTGTTAGGAACAGGAAAAACTGTTTTCACTCAGAAATGTTCCACTTCAAGCAAACTTGGCTTTGTAGTTATTTCTTAAAGGGATATTCCACCCCATAGTAAAAATGTGTCTGTTGCCATATTCCCCAGAGTTAGATAAGTGGGAAAAAAATTTGTAACCATCCCAGTCATTCTCCTGGTCTGGCAGTAGTCCTTTAGCTTTAGCTTAGCATAAAACAATGTAAGTGAATGGTAACAACTAGCCTTGTGTTCAGAAAAAGTCTTTAAAATGACCCAATAGCGATCCTTATTCTGCTTGGTGACCTCAATAGTCATACTGAGTGCAAATGAAAATAATAAATATAACAAAGGAATTAGACGCTCCGTTGGTTAAGCTACACGGACCTTCGACTCCTTCCACAGATTCTCTGTTGAGGTCAGCAGACTGGCTTGGCCACTCCAGAAACTTGAAATGTTCTTACGTAGCCACAGCTTCGTTGCCTTGGTGATGTGTTTGGAATGATTGTCATGCTGGAAGATCCAGTCATGTTTCATTATAGAGCTCTCACTGATAGAAGGAGGTTTTTACCCCAGATCTCACCATTTAGGGCCCCATTCATCCTTTCCTTAATAAGTTGTCCTGTTCCTTTACAGAAACGCAGCCCCAGAGCATAATATTTCCACCTCCATGCTTCACAGTGTGCATGGTGTTCTTGGGATGCAACCGTGCATTCTTCACCCTCCAAATTACATTGTACATGGTGATGGTTCAAGTCTGACTGTTTGAGGGAGTGGACAGGTGTATTTTATAAAGATAACAAGTCCAAACTAGAGCCATTAATACTAATAATGGTAAATGACCTGTATTTGTAGTCAATCAGTCATCCACCCATTCACCCACTGGTGGCGATGAGCAATGTAGCCACAGCTGCCCTGGGGCGCACTTATGGCAACAACGGTCCCTTTGACCACCGCCCAAAAGCAGAAATATAAATATAATATTTCATAATACATGTTTAATAGTGATATAGTGCTGTCTAATGAAAGCAGAACACAACCGATCAAAATTAAAACGGCTAAACAACATGTTTTCTTAAAGGAATGAGACAGGGTGGGTCATAATCTTTGTATGATTAAAAACACGTTGCCCTGGTGCTCCTCTCCTGTTTCAGGTACCAGAAGTTAGTTGGCGGGGAGGAGAGCAGCATTTGGAGTATCCGTCTGTATTATTTCCTGATATTCAGACATCTCGCCTCTGATTGGCTGGTTTCTCAGTAAACTTGCTCTCTCATCATTTTAAGCGGGCCAACTTGCACAATCAGTGGCTGCTAAATACCGGTACCTTTTGTCTCACTGTAAGAAGACATCCTGCTTTAAACTGTAAAACTGTTTTTATTGTTCTAATCATGATGCAGTCAAACCTCTGAGGTTAACAGGATCATCTGCATCGTCTTACTCACGACCTGAATGAAAACAACTCCCTTTTTTAACATTTGTAGTCATGTCAGAACCAAGTCAGACATTAGCCAAAGTCAGGTGAAATATTGTGTATCAGATGGAGATTTGAGGATTTTCCCAGAGGTAAGACTGAGTCCTCTACTAGCCAAATGTTTACATGCCTGTAGAATCCTAAAATCTCCTACTGCCAGAGCTAAAAAAAAGAATAATCACAGTAAGCATTTGGAAACAGGTTGGATCAACAGCTTTATTTAAAATCTAAAAAAATCAAACCTTTATACCCTGATAAAGTAAATGAAAATCAGAAAGTTTAATTTGGTTAAAGTTGATGTTAACATTTGAAACAAGAAATTGGCGCTTGCCATCTGCAGCGCTTACAATCTCCAACTGATGTCAGAAATTATGCACAGGATTCAACGCCGACGGTTTTAAAGAATGCACCAATCCTCATAAACAGGTAGGGTGATTGGCGTTATTGTTTTAAATGTATGAAAACAGTCTTTCCCCCCAATTTTCAGAAGCTGTGGAACGTTCTAGTTCCTAATCCTCACAGCCCACCATTGCTGAGGTGATCTTCACAGGAAATGGAGCGATCCTACTCATAGCCAGTATCATGGGGCTTGCATACTTGTAAAAATGTGAGCCTCTAAATATTTTTATTCCATCTGCGCCACACAGACCAGCATCGATGCCAGACAGGGGCAATGGTACGCCTTGGGAAACGACCCTGGGTGTAGCAGAGAGGTCTACGTCGTGCATCCTGGCTCCTGTTGGGACAGACACTCATCTTTAATGGTTTGTTTAAAGCCGCTTGAGAAACTGCTCAATAATCAGAGATAACGTAAAACTCTTACCTTGGATTATGTGAACTGTGTCTTCAGATGGACATACAAATGCAGCATCCACGTGTCCCTCAATGCCAAGCTCCTCCTTGACTGTTTTTGGGTAGCCTTCAACCAGCGTAAAGTGAGTGTCTGTCTTATAAATGTAAACCTGATCACCCTGTAAAGGTTGGGTGAAACAAGAAGTGTTAACTTTAATTTCTTTGCATCCTTATTGTTGACGTGGCATGGACTGAAGAATGACATAGACCTTAATCAAGTAGATTTTGTTGGTGTAGGAGAAGACAGCGTCAACGCCTTTGGTCACTTCTTTCCATCCTCTGGCGATTGGAAAGGCGTGATGACCATCACGATGGGTGTCCAGGCGCATGTAGGTGGGACCTTTTGTGTTGAACAGAAAAACAAGATTGTTTTCTTTTCTTTATTTTTCATTTTATTTGTAGACAAGAAGGCAGTGTAGTGTCAGAAGAACTGGGTGTGTTATCTTATGTTCAGAGAGGAGGAGGTTTGATTATTGTCAGTCAGACACCTGTTTGCCCTTTATTCGCTTGCCATCGTTTACGGAGAGGCTTTTAATTTGTCCGTTTTAGTTAATTTTGTGATATAATGAACAGGAACATTTTTGCTGATGTAAAACCTTTCTCAGTGGCCTAGTGGTAGAGTGTCCGCCCTGAGACTGGGAGATCAGGGGTTCGACTCCTGGTCGGGTCATACCAAAGACTTTGAAAAAATGGGACCCAATGCCTCCCTGCTTGACACTCAGCATTAAGGGGTTGGATTGGGGGGTTAAACCACCAAATGGTTCCCGAGCACGGCTGTGTCTGCAGCTCACCGCTCCCCTAGGGGATGGGTCAAATGCGGAGAATAAATTTCGCATACACACCTGTGTGTGTGTGACAACTAATGGGACTTTAACTTTAAAATTTGAGCCTCAGAAGTTGGAACGCTCAAATTCTAAGTCTAGGAAAACCATCTCCTAACTCAGAAAGACATAGGCCCAATCCCAATACTCCTACTTCCACCCTTGCGCCCTTCAATTGCGCGTTCCAGTCCAGGGTGCAAGTGTGTACCATAGGGTGTCCCGATCCTCAAGAGCAGAAGTTGACCACGTCTCTTTTGGAATGGTTCAAATACCTTTTCTGAAAATGTGTATTTTCAAATGAAAGTTCATTTTAAGACAATTAATGATATTTAGTCGTGCTCTGAATGTTTTAGACTAAAATTTCATGTGAACAGCAAGTAACGTAAATTTTGTTAAGAAATTGTTTGTTTGAAAGTTGTCAAAGATTTTTTTAAAAAGTAGGACAAACAATGACCTGCATGCATAGGGAGCCCATCTCTTCCGCATCATGGGTTCCCGAAAGAACAAAAAACCTAATGCAAGTCAACGGGGCTAATAACATTATTTTCTAATCCGCTTTGCCTTACACCCTGGATCACACCTATGTTGTACTGCAATTTAAATGAAAGGTAATGATGAGTGTTTCCACCATGCCAGTCATGTACTTTGAGATTTATCAGCTTGTAAAAGTTTGCAATTAGCATGAATGCAAACTAGAAATTGGCACGTCGCAGATGTGACGTCACCACAAAATCTTCTCTCCCCTAGCATAGCTGCTACTTACCACATGACCAGATTTTTGATGGTTCTTTCCTCCTGTGGGAAGTTTGCTGAACTTACAGCCCTTTTGCCTCAGTTTTCTTCATGTCTGGTTCAGTGACGTCACTTTCGTGAAGCGCGTTTGTAGTCCTGGACTTATTTTCACACAAAACCTAAAATATTGTTCCCCCGTTCAAAAATAAGCACGTTCTCGGTATCAAAATGTGTCTTTAAAATTCACGGACATCATATGTATGTGAAATCCATGGCACAAAGCGGAATTAGAAAAAAGTGTTTTTTAGCCCCGTTGACTTGCATTCATTTTTTTTGTTCTTCTGGGGACCCGTGATGCGGAAGTGACTTAGACTCCCTGTTGCAGTTGATGACACAATGTTCACTGTCCCAATTTGGCAATTATTTGCGCACTTGTGTACGAAGTCGAAGCCTTCCTCCAAGTGCACTTTGCTGAAGACCGTAGGGTGCAGTGTGAGTACTAGGATTGGACCAGAGGTTCCTGATAAACCCTAACCTCAAAATCCAAAATGGCTGCCTCAAGTAGAAAATAAGTGGTAACAAATAGGTTATTTTTCATTTTTTGTCAGTTCACACACTAGCTTCAACATGAAGCATTTTGTTAGTGTTTTAATCAAAAGTACATGTTATATGGCTTTTTTATGGATTTAGCAATGATTAGCAAGTCTTTCTGGATTTCTGATTTGCAGCTGAAACTTGATACATTTCCCAAATTCAGCTTCCAATCTTTGAGGTCAATGGAACACACCAAACTTCACCACACTTTCAGGCCTTTGAAGCTTTAATTTTCTAGAGCCAATGCTAACATTAGCTTGCTAATGCTAACATGATTGTGTTTAGGAGGAACAGTAAGCCTAAGTCATGCTAATCTACTTCCGTTCCCTGCTGTCAGATAAAACAATGGGAGTCTATGGATCGTCAAAGTTATTTTCTGATCCTGCTTGACATGTGCCGTGGATTTAACATGCTGTCGGGAACTGCTTCCCAGCCCCTCCCACTCTGTCGTTTTGTCTTCCCCTTTTGAACCCACCTGCCCTTGATTGTTTGCTGCACACCTGTTCTTACATTTAAACCCTGGTCACTCTTACTGTGGAAGTGAATCTATACACTTTCCATTGGCTAATGCTACAGCCAAGCTAATAGATCTCAAGTAAGAACTTCTTCTAATTTATGAGTTTTTGCAGGTTTATTTAAAATAAGATTATGCAAGTGTTGAGGTGAATACTCACAATTTTTATGTTTGTGTTTCCTCTTAAGCACCAAAGCTAATTGTAAACCTTAATAAGTTCACAGAACTCAAAAATTATTTTTTAACAGATTACTCAAAAATATTTAAGTGATGTTTTTAAATATTTTAAGTTTACAGAAAATATAAATTACATTTGCAGTGGCCCCAAATTATCTCAATGTTATCTTAAAAATATTGATATTCCTCAACTTATAATTAGGGAGTAATTCACTCAAGATTTTCAACATTTTTCAACTCATTATTTGGAATATATACTCAAAATGTAATTTTTTTTTTTACTCAAACTTGATGACATAACTCAAAAAATGTTGTACTACACTAACCAAAGTAAGTTGCTATCAGCACACCATTCACACACCCAGCCAGTGAGTGAAGCATCCAAAGACAAGTCAAGAACATCAAACCAACCTCCTCACTTTTGGTGCCAACATGATACAAAAAGTAACACCACATTTTCAGCACTGAATGAAGTAATAACTAAGAACAACAATGGCCCACAACAAACATGCATAAACACCCAAAAATAGAACAATATAACTAAAAACATAACTACCCACAATGCACCTCACCCACCAGTTCTTTGTTGTGCCTGAAATCCACCAAAATTGCTTGTTTGTGCTTGTTTTTTCCTATAGATCCACAAATATTTTAAGAAATATATAACTCTGTTTATTAGACACACTTTAAGTTGACATAAAGATGAATAGAATAATATAGAAACATAAAATTACAAATTATTTTTAGTTCATATTACTCATTCAAGTTAAGTTATTCTTTGTTGATTTATTTCAGTTAAGCTAGCTAAAAATATATATTTTTTCAGATTAATTAAAACATTTGAGTTCTATGCAATTAAAACAAGGAGAAGATTGAACTAACTCAACACATTTGAGTTCTAAAAACCTTTTTTTTTAATTTATGAGTGTCACCTAATCAATACATTTGATTATTTTCAACATTTGGGTTTACAGTGCACTTTTCCCACCACTATAAATGTTGGCGAACCATTTTAGAGGTTTACCAGTCATTAGATGACTCTCGATGAAGCAAAGTTTAGAATTTTTTTTTTACCAGAAAACAGAAAATTTATGGAAAAAGTTAAAAACATAGGATTTTAAAGATTAAGATTAAGTTCTCTCTTTTTTTTAAACACATTTTCAGTGGTCTCTAGTATAAATTAATGCCTTGTGAATTGATCTCTGAGAGGGGAACAAGCCCTGGTGCTCTTGTGTCAGGAACCAGAAGTTAGTCAGAGGAGAGGAGCAAAGGACGGCAAGATTTGAAATATTATTCCCTGATATTTGGACATCTCGCTTCTGACTGGCTAACAGCAACAACACTCAACCACTGAATTTGTTTTCTCTGCAACGTTGATGTTTTATCTGCACAAATAACACAAGCCTGGAGGACTTCTGCCATGCTGTGGAGTTGGTATTGCTAACGGTTAGCATCTACTGGCATAGTCAAGCTTTGCTCTCTTCTGGATGCTAAACCAATAACAGCCGTCCCTGTCATGAGTCAAGATGGGTGAGGAGTCTCAAATCTTAGAGATTCACCATTTATTTTCTTTCAGAAGCTAATGCATGAAATAGGTCTTGAAGACTACTTTCATGCTCAGCCTGCATGTTAAACTCAGAGTGACCGATCAAAGAAAACGTAGTAAAAAACAATTTATCAGTGAACTTGGTCTTTAAACAGTTTACAACCAGTAAATGAAGTGTGCTTGTCTGATATTCATCTTCATTTCAAAGGTTTGGATAACTCGTTTAATCAATACATTTACAGTGGTCTCTAGTAAGAAATAACACCTTGTAAGTTGTTCTTGGGAGGGTGAAACATACCGGTGCACCACTTCTCGAACTCAAAAGTTGCCCAAATCACAGCTGAGCTTCAGACAGCAGGTTGGATATCGGATAACAGCAATGCAACTCTACCTCTGACTTGCAACATGGATGCCATATCTCCACAAATAACAAGTCTGTACGACCTTCTGCCGTGAGGTAATGTTGCTAATGCTAGCGGTTAGCTTAAACTAGCTGAGACGTTCTTTGCTGTTTCCTGGACGCTAAACCAACAACATCCCTTCCCGTCATGAGTCAAGATGGGTGAGTCCATGAATGCTAATTCATAGTGTGACGTATATCTGTGAGGATTTTCAAGTCCTACATTTTCACCGTATATTTCTATTAGAAGCTAACACAGGAGATAGGTGTGGGAGACTATTACCATGTTAAGCCTGCATGAAAACCTCAGAGTGACTGAATAAGAGGGACCCACACACCTTTAAACTTTTGTGTTTTGTATTATGGAGAAAACCAAAATGAAACTTCTCACATGTTTTGTACTTAAATTTTACCTGTGAATATGTAAGTTCTTCCTGCATCATCTGTGGTGATGGCATCTAGTTTGATGTCACTGCATTTCACAGCTGTACGATCACCTCCATGACCTGAAGGTAAACACAGAAATGTATTAAAATGCTTACTGCTGCTTTTTCTTGTATGAAGCCAAATTATTGATTTATTTATTTCTGATCCAGAGATTTACCAAAGTTAGGACAGTGCATAAAGTAATGGCGGGCATCTTTGGGGTAGGTCCCATTCACCTCTCCTGACACCGGGTGGAAGCGGGTGAAGTTGTGTCCATGGAAACAGTAGTAGTGCTCCAGCCAGCGCAAAGCAGAGGCACAGACGGGTAGATGGGCCCAAGTTTTCATTTTTATGGCTTTGGTGGCAATATCATAAACATGCACATCATTTCCTGCAAGGAGGGAAAATGTCAAATTCAGTATGGGGCACCATTTGGAAAGTAATGCTGAAAAATATAAAAGTGTTTTATCATCTAAAATACATCACATTTGGCCCTACGTAACAATGAAAAATAGGAAAATGTGGGGATTTTTTGTTCAATTTTTACAGCTTTTTAAGGAAATTACATTGTTATGTTCAAATATTTAAACAAAAATCCAAATTATAATGTCAAAAACAAATATATAGTTTTTAAAATCAAGTCTAAATTTATCAAAATTGAATCAAGGAGAAGATATCCCCTGTATGCATTTTTAGAATCCGTTTGATAGATTATTTATTAAAGTTGTTGTCTGGGTTCTCCTTTTCCTGATGACAACTTATCTATGGCTAGACAAACCAACTGTCATGGTCTGCGTCAGCCCCTTCCTTTTTTGTGCCTCCTGGTGTCCTCCATCCTTCTCTAGATACCCTCTTGTGTCCCTTTGTTCCCCAGCTCCTCTTGTGCTCCACTCCAGGTTCCCCCCTTATGCTCTTTTAGCGCCCTCATGTGTCCTTGTCTGCATCCCTGTTATGTGTCTTATGTTGTAGCTCTTTGGCGCCCTCATGTGTCCTTTTTCTGCATGTCAGTTTAGTGTCTTACGTTATCTTTTCTACCCTTTCCTCCCAGGTCAGCTCCAGCCTCGTTCTCCCCAGCTCAGTGTGTGTGGGTGTATGTGCTATGTCCTCCTCCAGCTAGTTTGTGTGAGTCCTTCCCTCTGTCTTTTGGTAATATTTGTTTAGTTTTGTGTTTAGGTATTTGCCCTCTGTTTCTGTTTTCCCCATTGAGTTGATTAATGTCACCTGCCTTCCCTCCAGCCCTCACTCCACACACCTGCTTCCTGTTTCCTTAATTTGTCTCCCAGTCTATTTAAGCCCGGTATTGTGTCTGTCTTGTGTCGGTCCATTAACGTATCTGTATGTTATTCTGTCAGTGTTTGCTCGTGCTCTTGGTGAGCTTTGTTTTCTCCAACCTTGGAGTTTTTTGGACTTTGGCTTGCTGCCTGGATTTACTTTTGTTCTGCCTTCACAAATAAAGGATTTTTACTTTTCATCATCTCTGCCTCGTGTCATCCTGGGTAACTGCATATTTGGGTCCTAACATCCTCAGAATGTGACACCAACACAATCATGCTATCCTATGAAGTCTGAGATTTTATAGGACATCTCTTTACCCATTTTTATTTTTATTTTTATTTTTGTAGGCTACATCAGTTTTACACATTCCAAATGACACTGGCTAAACCATCATAGACAAAACCATTTTCTTAATGAGATTTTTACATAGAAATTTAAAGATTTCAGTTTATACAAATATGTTTAATTTTAAATATTCAGATTTAAATATGAACAATAAGATTTGGCTCTAATTGTTGTAATTTCTTTGCTCAATTTAGATTTTATTAGAAAATTTAGATTTATTTAAAAACTTTGATGGCAAAAGTATATGATCAAATATTAGCTTCCAATTTTTTAATTAAATATTTAATTATTTTAAATATTTTATTCAAAATGCTTATATTTAATCTGGTACAATTAGATTGATTTCTAAATATTTAGATTTAAGCTTATATGTTTAAATTTTATTCAAAATACTTCTGTTTAATCTGGTTTATTTAGATTGATTACTAATTATTCAGATTTAATCGTATATAATTAGATTTTCTTTATGATGTTTATATTTAATCTGGTCAATTTAGATGGATTTCTAACTCTTCATATTTAATTTTATATAGCTGAGTATGATCTGAAAGAATTCAGTTAAATATATTTAATTTTGATCATGCATTTAAATTTTCTCTTTAGATAATTTAATTTAGATTGCCTGAAAATTGTATACATTTATATTTGATTTTTAGCACTGTAGATAAATTAAAAACAAAAAAAAACTGTTACATTTATTTGGTCAGCCAATTATATCTACGATGTGCTGACTTGCTTGAATAATCGATACTTTTTTAAAGTAACTAACCAACAATTGGTAGAGCGACAACTATTATGACTTTATCTATGAACACCTTTAAAGAACAGCACTGAATTGGTCATGCATTCTCCTTTTGGACATTCCACAGCAGCATCCAGATTATTTGGGATTCCAGGAAATTCTTCTTGAATTCCCTTTGGATACCCCTCTTCCAAACTTTGGTTAAAGTAACTGGAAACCTTGTCACCCTGGAAGCAACCACAAAGATTATAATCTGACATTATGTTCCTTGGTTTGCAGTCACAGTTAAAAGTATTTGAATCCTACCTGGAAAACATAGATGTGGTCATGGTTGTCTGGGTTCTCTGTGTTGTGCATGCGGAACGCAGCATCAACACGACCACTCAGATCTCTGAAGTATTCACTGGAGAGCTGTGACGGACCTCTGAAGCTATTCCAAATATAACCATCTGAGGGGAAAAGACCCATTTAAAAACACACGAGGTTTTATTTCAATAAAAACAATAACATGCAGTCAGTTGTCTTGTTTGTGCAACACAGGGTTTGTCCTTGGGACGAGGAAAACTATGAGAATATTGCTAACGTGTTTGTAAAAGGAGAAGAAAACGTGCAAACCTTTGAAGTAATGAACTTTTCCCTTCTCATCAGGAGCGATCGCATCAAACTGGATACCATCACATCTGTCTGGCTTACCAGGACCGTCACCTCCATCTGTATTCCCAGGTTAAGATAACATAGTTAATCAATTTTACACTTATTAAGACTTATTAATAAATACTGCTGCCCGCGGATAAATGGAGAAGGAAGTGACGCCCCCATCAGCGTCAGCCTGAGGAAGTCTGCAGCCGCAGATGAAACATAGCGAAAAAACAGGTAACGAAACCGTTTCTGTGTTTTAAAAAAGAACGATAGCATGGAAATACAATGTGACCGATCTGTCAAATCACAATGTTATGATTAATATGTTTTAATAAGTAATATGACTTATTCTAGTCCACTAGACACACTGACACACGTAAGGAAAACAATCGCATGACACATTGCTGTACTGATCCAATGAGAACCTTCCTAGTCTGAAGCGTGGCATAGTCTCTGTGGTGTTTATAAATCTGCCAGCTTTGATTCAACCAGAATTCAAAACATCCAGATTAATAAAACCAGTTCCAACGCCATCTTAGTTCAGTTCTCAAGATCTCACTGGAGTTCACCGCATGCTAAGTGAAGTATCGGACCGGCCATCCGAACTTCCCTTTTTAAGCTGAGAACCACCAAGCTGGAAAAATCTGTTGCATTTTTACCAACCAAGCAACTGTTCCTTTCAGAATAAAAGCTGAACTCACTGACCCAAGGAGGGTCCCCCTTTGACGCTGTGAACCACCTGTCACTTTTTACCTGGAGACAATCCAAGGACTAGTCTGTCGTGCTGTGACGCTGTACCACTGGCTCCAGTACCGAGAGGAGGGTCCGTGGACCTGACATTCGGGATCCGTGAAGGAGGTCTCACTGAGGGTATGTGCGGATGCGACAAAATAGTGTCTCATGTGTTTATGCAACTACTCCGGTCAAGTCTGATCACAGTTAGGAGCAAAACATCATCTCCCACTCAGACTTGCCTCTTCGGATACGAGAGTTCTGATAATAACTAGGGCCCGACCGATATGCTTTTTTTGGGACCGATACCGATATAAAACTTTTAACAAAGGCCGATAGCCGATATAATGGCCGATAAATCTCCTTCACAAAAAAAGAAATAAATACAAATGTTCTTAAGATTAAACCCTTCATTCTCTGCCTTTTTGATGCTAACTTATTTCTATATTACACAACAAAGAACTGTCTCAATAACTCACTAGGGTTTCCAAGTAATGCAAATAAGATTTATTTTGCAATCTCAAAAACAACAGAACACACAAACTCAGTCAGTATAAATCTAACATTCAAGTTTTTTGTTTTCTGAGTCGGTGGAGTTTTACACTTTTGTGTTTTGATCCTTTCCAAAGCCGACAGTATTAGGAAAATAAAAATAAGATACGTTAAATGACTAGTATGTGGTAATGTATAAGCCTTATGTAAAATATAAGGCTGAAAAATACAATAGATTTATTCTTTTGTAGAGAGGAATGTTTATTTTCTCGTATTACTGCCCCTACTCCTCTCCCAGCTAGGGATATAGCGCAGATAGCGTGGACTAGAAGCCAGGTGATGTTTTACGTATTTAAATGATGATCAGGCTGCTGTAAATTGTAATCTCCATCCACATCCAGACACAATTATCCTCTATTCTATTTTCTCTGCACTTGTCTGGGCTGACGTAGCTGATGGTGCGCGCAGCGCGCCTAGCGGCTGTGATGCACATTTTACGCATTTGGAGAGGTGGGCTGGATGCTTTGCTTTTACTGAAAGACAGGGGCGGCGTTAGGCCCGGATACTTGGGCTCAAGCCCCGAATGTTTTATGAAAAGCCCCGGATCTAAAACGTGAAAGTAACATGCAGTACCAAAGTCCAACAGAGAGGGAGCAGCTGGCAGTAGTTTGTACACAGCCTGCCTGAGCCTCCACCACTGAAGAAGAAGCCCTTCAGCAGCCGGCTTCTTCTACAGTCTCTGCCTGAAACGCATGAGTGAAGATGGACATAAGGACGTTTTTTCAACAAAAAGTACCGCGACAGAACCCCAGCTTTGATGAGACTGGTGTTGACTCAGGTTTGTGAGTCTTATTTGAAAATATTTGTTGTGCTGCTTGGTTTGCCTAAAGTTAGCTTACTATCAGGTAAAGCTGTTGGAGAAAGAAAGGGAATATTTACTATCATCTCACACTAAACACTAACAGGAACAATATTCTGCCCTGAATATGCTTAATATGTAGCTTCAGATCAAAAATGATGTGGTACAAGACAAATATATATGATGTTGACTAGTGCGTGTCAAGTGTGTGTGAGTGAGCGCGTTCGAGTGTGTGTTAAGCCCTGGATCTTCTTCAGTCCTAAATCTGCCCCTGCTGGAAGATGAATTTTTTTTTTGTGTCAAAAATTTCGGCAATTTTGCCCCATGAATTACCATAAAAACTACTGGTGTGCGTGCTCCCTTATGAAAGAGTCCTACGTTGAGAGGTAAATATTAGAAATGCAGGTTCTGGTGCCTATAAATGAAAAGTGAATGAAAATTAAATTGGGAGTTTTTACTTCATATTTTAGAAATAAAAATGACGGGGGGAAATTTTTATGACGTCTTTTTAAACTAAATTTTCTAGCGCGACCTGCCTGCTTCACTTACGTCACTTCTTATTAAGGCCCGTCCAGAATTACCGTGGCCCACCCATAAATGAAAACCTGGCGCCGCGCCGGTTATAAACCTCTGCAAGTTGTTGTTCTTCACTTTATCAAACTGAGAGTTTGTACAGCTAATGTCAAGATGTAAAATTATGAATTCAGTCGAGCTCTTCCCTCCCTCTCCTGTTTCTGAAACAGAAGACGGAGGGGAATAAGGAGATGAGGCAATGGTGCGAGACACCAGACTGCTGTGGAGGTGAGCAAAACGGCTGGAAAAGTGTGGGTGTTGAATCCCCCACGTGTGTGACGCCCATGCAACTACAGTTGGACATGTTTTTCAGTTTAAAGTCCACGGAAATGTAGACAACCTTTGGAATTCAACACAATCCATGTTTACATTTGTACCAGCAGCAAAGCTTCTGGGAAATCGTCGTTTGGGCAAACGACTTCAAAGTGCAGCTTTTTGGCATCGGCTCTATGATCCCGGAAATGAATTTATTATTAATATTTAATTAATTCTTTCATTTTTAGGCATCTGGCATCTACCCTCCAGGTGACAAACCACCTCAAGAATGGACACAAACACCAATTAATGAACATTAATGCTATGTGCCTGAAAGGGACTTGGAAGAAGAAAACATATTTAATCCCACCTTCATTTACTCAAAACTCTTTGCTACTCTGCTATTCAACATAATTAATCATATTAGGGCAGTTTGCTTATTTCTTTCTGTTGAGCTGCAATGAAATCATCGTTTGATTGTTAGTTGTTTAAAGAAATTAAAATTATTTAGTCAGTTTGGTTTCGAGGAACCAGTATGACTGTATCCATGTTTACTCACCATTTACGGCTGAATCTTGCCTGTGGACGATAAATAAGAAGTTATTTTTGATCAACAGTATGACACCATGTTACTTTTCATTTTCCACTCTGGCTTAAATAACTCAGCAACACAGAATCAAAGCAGCACAAAGAGCAAATAGTCTTTAAACTGGCCCAATTGATCCAGTAGTTGAACTTTGGTTTAACAGCGGAGTTGAGTAAAGAAAGGTACATTTCCTCCTCAAACTAGACGATCGGAAACGCTGTGGTTCCCGAAATATCAAAATAGCATCAAACCGATGGAAAAAAGGCAAATGAGAACTCAAATTAATATTCTTTCTTTAAAAGAAATATAGCTTTTGAAAAATAATGTTCATGGTAATAATTTGGGCAGTAAAGACAAAAGTCAAATACTCACGCTGGTGCCGCCTTACTGAGGGTAAAAACTAGGAACAGAACCAGAGTTTTGGTGAGAAGCTCCATGTTGTCACCCTCTGAAGTCCTCAAATGTGGAGCTTCAGGCTGGAGATGGTGCTTTTATTCTTAAATCTGATGGTGTGTGTGTGTGTGTGTGTGTGTGTGTGTGTGTGTGTGTGTGTGTGTGTGTGTGTGTGTGTGTGTGTGTGTGTGTGTGTAAACTCTGGTCTTGCATGTGCTATCAGCACGTTTGTTTGCAGAGACAGATAATGGAGTTTCTGTTTTTGCTGAATTGCTAAATTTTAAACAATTTGCACAACCAGACAATATTCTCAGTAAATTTTTATTTGTGTTTACAGTTTTTTCCATTTCCATGTTTACTGTATCTTTCTGTAAATCAGGTCAAACTCAAACTAATAATTTCTCACCAAGTTAACTTAATGGAGAAATTCAGTTTTCCAGGTAACAGTTTACAAATATATGCATTTACGACTCCTAAACTCTCTTTGGCCCGTTTACTTGTTTACCCTTTAGCAGTGCTGTAAACATAACTGCCCCATGCAGATGTCTTCTGTTTTAGCTTCACATCACCTATGATGATTTAGATTAAAGGAAACACGATTCTTAAATGCAACTCATTCTATCACTCTTTGTTTTATCTAGCAAAACTTAGGCAAGCCTTACATCTTTTTAAATTTTGTAAGTACGAGCATATTATACACAAAAACACTAATTATACACAAGCTCCTAGTAATAAAACATAAGATTTGCTGATAAAATAAGTTGGATTGCAGCAAAACAGACGTCTATCATTATTTTTCTATGTGTTTGTAATTTTTGACTATGAGAATACCATAAAAGTATTTTTAAAAATTTTGGACTCATCAAATATAAATACCAAGTTAAACCATAAAAAAGGTAGACACCTCTATGCAGATGTAAACCTTTAAAACAAATTGATTAGGACTTGGTCTGTATATACGTATATATTTGACTATGTCTACAGTTCCATGCAGTTCACTTGTAACGGTAGATCTTAATACAGTGATTCAAGCTGTCAGATACAACCACATGACCACCAGGAAGCAGAGCCAACCCCCTCGGGCTGTTAAGGTTGTCAGTCACTAGGGGCCAGCCCACCCCTTTGGATGGATATATGAGCACACAGTGCTTCTGCTTGCCCCAATCTGCCACCAAGACATCTCCATCACTGTCTATACAAAGCCCCCAAGGGCAGGTCAGAGTAGGCCCCAGTCCAGAGCACACCCCGAGGATTCGGAGAGTGTTCCAGCCTGGTGCCAGGACTCGTATGCATGGAACACGCCCAGTTTCATTGCCTCGTTCCGTCACTGCCATGAGCCCAGTTGTGAGACAGGCTGCCACCAAGTAGGGTCTGTGGAACCCGGTTATCACTGTGCGTTCCAACCTTACTCCGGTTTTAGGGTCCAGTTTTAGATTGGTTAGGGTACCACGCTTGATGTCAGCCACCAAGAAGTCATCTTGCCATGTAACGGTGATGCCTCTTGGTGCATCAAGGTCTTCATTGGTGGAACCAATCATTGTGCCTCCAAATGTTTGCAGAAGGCGTCCATGACGACTGAACACCAACACAGCTCGTTCAGCAGCACAAGTTAAAGCAATCAAACCTTTTGAGTTCACAGCCACATCAAAGTAGTTACAAATACGAGAAGATCTTTCTGGTCCAGGAGACACTTGCTGTACAACATTCTTCTGGAGGTCTGTCACTTGAATTCGCGCATTACCACAGTCTACCACAAACAGCTGCCCTCTTACAGTTGCATGGACACCACTTGGCAGGTTGAAGTCCGTGCGACCAGATCCTTGTTTCCCTAGCTGTTTGATCAAATAAGCTGAGTCGAGGGCAGTTGAACCTCCAATTTTATCTGCCTCCTTATCGGCCCCATCGGCTCTCTCTTTCTTATCTTTCCTGTATCCATCTAGATCTTTGACTTGATTTGACTTGTCACCGTCAATAGCTGACAGGGACTGAGATCTGCGACTTACACCTAATTCGTGTGTAATGCGAGTTTGAGATCTTGACTGTCTTTCATCATATCTTGCTAAGTTCTTGTTGCAATCTGAGCTGGACTCTTGACCTTGCTCAGAAGTTGACCGTTCAGATGTAAGACGCATTCTGTTGACCTTTCTCAAGGATCTGCACTCAATCTTGTCACTCGCAATTAGAGGAAGTGCGTTACCAGAAAGGTCAGCTACAGACAATGAGCGGTAGTGGTCTTGCTTAAAAGATGGGGCACTCAGAGTATAAGTGTAGCAGGAATCTTCACTGCCCACTGGAGATGGAGGACTTCCACTGTCCACTGAAGATTCTGTTGGGGTCTTCTTCTTTGTGATACATATTTGTGAAGAAGTAAGATGCCTTGAGGAAAGGTCTACCAGGTTATGCCTGGAGGGTGAGCCTTTGCATCTAGTTACTGGAGAACATGTGGTGTTGTTTCTTTTTCCATCCATTTCTTCGATAGAGCAGGATGGTTCCTCACATGACACCAATACAAGAGCTTTTTGCCTTCTTTTGCTTTTCACTATACTGTGCCTCTTTGTTTCATTGTATCTACCATCAAAGTCATCACTCTCAGATTCACCTTGACTAGGGACTGTTGGAATAGACAAGAAAAGGTCATGTCCCAGTGTGTCTGAACAAACCGATTCCACCTCCTCTTCTTGGGAAGATTCGGATAGACCACGGTGTCTTGGTATGGGAGGCTTAGATGGTTTAAACTCTTCTTTGTTCTCCGTAGAACTCGACAGTTGTAGTTTCCGAACAGATCGCACAGTCCCTCCATTTGTTTTATTGTCCTCTGGACTGCACCTTTGCCCTCCTCTATTTGGTTGTGGTTCTTTTCGTATTTCACATGGAGTTATGTTTGAAAATATTGCTTTACCAGAGTGTAGGGCACACTTATGTCCTTGGTCACCACACCCTCCAATGTGGTAAGTCATACTTTGCTCACAAATGTCAACCTCCCCCAGGTAAAAGGACTTGGACTGGGGGCTTGATTTGAAACTCACCCTTTTTAGGGTTAGAGAGATTTCCCATGGCTGTGTGGCCTCTTCCACATATCTCTGGAGCTGATCTTTGTTGGATTCACCAGCAGTTAAACCCCATCTTTGAATTTGTTCCTTTAATTGTCCAATTTTTCGAAGTTGCTGATCAACAAGTGTCTGAACAACTCTCACGGCTGCTGCGTTTTCTCTCTTTACCTGACTTAGAAGTCGCTGTGCTTCTTGGTGGTCCTGCTCTACCTTCTCGAGAAGGCGCCGCTCCTCTCGCTGAGCTGCTATCACGGCATTGTCTAAATCGCGGTTCACCTCCTCCACTTCAGCTTGCTTTCTGTCCCTGAGGCTCTGAAGCTCCTGTTCACCTTGCTCCAGGTTTGATATTGCCTGTGTCACCCATGGAGGGGGTGAAGGAAGACGTTGTGGTGTGAAGATGGACTCTCGTGGGGTAAAGGATAAGGGAGGAGAGGTGGTCACATCACGCTGATGTGGAGGGATGTATGTCAGCAAGGCAGTCAACCCAGGAAGGGGTTTTCTTTCAGAATAATACCTCATTAACATTGTCAGTGGTGGATTTCAGAATCCTCCTTTCATGAATTTAACCCTTTTCTCCCTTTATACCTGCAAATGCAAAAACAACAGGGAAGACAAATGGAATGTCACTATCAACACCATGACGCTGATTAGAAATTAGAACCAGATGAAGCCCTGTATGTCATTACAAAGTCACCCAGTGTTGTTTTGTGAAATAAATCCTCTGTCCCTCAAATACCTGACCTACCTGTTGACTGGGGGGTATCATATAAACCCCAACCGGACCGGCACACACTTCAATGCCTGTTCTGGAACTGGGACACAGCATGGCTCTCAGCGTAACTCTATCCTTCCTGTACAATATTTTGTTACTCGTGAGACTCTAAAGTGTTCTCAGGTAGCCACTGTTTTCCTTTTAAGATGTTAACACTGTCCTCAGACTTTAACTCTGTTTGCATCTATTGATGACTCCGACAACACATTAAACAGGTTACGTTTAGAAAAGGCATATCCAGTCTCTGTTATTGTGCAGACAGCTAATTCTTATCATTGATCTTGAAGTCTTCTGCTCTAGAAGAGCTGTTTAGGGTCATTTAATTTGGATTATGTGGAAAGAGTGTGGACAATTAAGTAAATAGCTTTTGGGATTACCTCAGTTTGGAGTGAAAGTGAAAGTTTTGCCTATATTGATGAGCTAATAGCTAGTCAAAACATCAGTTTCTTATTGCATGATTGCACATGAAATACAATGGCGGCAGCAGCTAGCCATAGCACTTCTGTGGTACATTATGTGTAAAATTCCTTCTACATGAGTCTATGTGGATTGTTATAGAATTGAAGAAACATACCTTATCTACAATAGTTATCTATTGGCTTTTAGCCTGTTGATATTAAAGGTGTGGTTTACTGAAAAAATAAATGCTTTTTATTATTTCTGATTATAATCAGTTACTCTGAGCTTTTCATGCAGGCTGAACATTAAAATAATCTCCTACACCTCTATATTGTTTTAGCTTCTGATAGAAAATAGACGATGGCACTCTAGGATTAGAAAAGTCTGACAGATCTATGTCACTGTCACTTGACGTTCTTGGACTCATCCATCTTAACTTGCGCTGGGGAAGGCTGCTGTTTTAGCGTCAAGAAAACATCAGAGATTGCATTGGCTAGTAGAAGCTAACTGTTAGCATTAGCAACTCCCCAACACGGCAGAACTCCTTCACGCTTGTGTTATTTGTGGAGATAAAACATCAACGTTGCAAAGTAAACGGAGTCAGTGATAGAGTCACATTTCTGTTACCCAATCAGAGGTGAGATGTCCAAATACCAGGAAGTAAGACTACAAATCCTGCTGTCTGAAACTCTCCTCTGATCTGGCAATCTTCTAGATCCTGAAACAAGCGCACCGGGACTTTTTTCAGAGTACAATTAAAAAGTCATTCATTCCTACTAGAGACCACTGCTAATTGATTAAACAAGCAAACCACACCTTTAATAAAACCTTTTTCCCCTCTAAATTAAGTCGATCAAAGAGCTATCAACAACAGATTAGATGTAAAAATATGATCTTAGTGGTCCGTGTGAGCCACGAAGGGATCACAAATCGAAGCCCATTCGGATCACTCATTCTATCTGCCTAAAAAGGACCGTAAATAAAATAAAACTAGATATTCTCAAACTTTTCCAGCCAAATCACCATCATTCATCAGAAATCTGACAATTAAAGTCTATTTTTTCTTTTTACACATTATAAAACTTAACTGTTTCTTTTAGTTTCCTGGAGTTTGGTGTAATTGTAATTATATTAAATCCCAACATGTCTTGGTTTTAATTTCGACTCGTTATTTTCAAATTTGATGGAAGCTGAAAACACAGATGGCCCACTGAAGGCTTGGAAACTAGATTCTGTCTTTAACACACTAGAGACAAAAAGCCATGAAAGGCATTTTAAGTCTTTCTTGTGTCCGTTCAGGAATGGATCATATTCTGAGTCAGTGACTGAGTGTGGACTTCTCTATATATTAAATGCTGGCGGCGTGAAGCTGAACAATGAGGCTTTTGCAAAGATGAAAAGGAAAGTGTCGGGTTACCTCCACATTAGATAAACTGTTTCCCATGCTCCAAAAACGAATCCCACCTCAAGATAACATTTATTTCCCAGAAAATTAATAAACCCTCAAAAAAAAAGAAATAAAATAACTTCAACTTACTCAAAAACAAAACTTTCTGTTCCCCACAAATTAACAATCTTTTGATCTAATAGACAAAAGCTATCCGTTACATGTCAACGACAAATGCCTGTCACTTTTTTGCACTGGGGCCAATGGCCGTCTCCAGTTACCCCAGTTTAATGTTGTATGAGAGTTGCTAAGCCACCAGTCGACCTTCGTTCAGGACTATCACATAAATGGCACCGCTCAGAATCGAAGAGCTTAGACAGCATGAGAAGAAACATTCCAACTAAGTGAAACATAACAATGGAGCTATTCAGTATCCGCTACTCAGAATAAATCCCAGTAGAGGTTTGCTACTGGAAATGTTTGCTCAAGTGGTGGCATTTAAGACATTTCATTTGTCAGCACTCAAGTTCGAATAAGTACATTTTAAGTGACTAGAACAAAAAATAAGCATGTAAGTACTTACAGAAACAGATGCACTGGATGATGGTGGTATTACCTGTGCAGGTTTCTCCAGTATTGCTGGATCAGCTCTGACCTGCTGGTACCAGTCCCACCTCCTTCTGACACACACCCATCTCACCCCTCCCTCTAAGCCACCTCCCATGTTTACATGTACTGTATTTCCACATCACCCAGATTATTAGATTGGCTTAACCCTCGAAAGGTTGAAAAATCTAGTTTATTAGTGAAATATTTATAGTCAAATATTACTATAACAATTTCATAATCTGTTTATTTTTGTTACGTAATTTTATAAAAACACAACAAGAGGTATTGGCCCTGGTCAACTGTCTGTAGGTCCTCTGTAGAGGGCAGTAGACATTTCTGATGAAGGTACTAATCCCGGTACACCATCGGGATCCTGTAAAGGTGCATGATGTAAGAATGAAGCTAGAATGACACCCTGTGGTCAGGTTTGGTTACTGCAACCCATTTTCTAAACAAAAAGTGACTATCCCACTACGGTTACGTGAGTTTCATAGCAGTTACGGATCAGCATTGACGAGCAAAAACGAGTCATACGCAGTAAGCTGAAAAGAAGATGTCGCAGTAATATTGAGATGTTGGTTCTTTAAAATGTAGCTTCAGATATTTTTGGTCAACTGTTTGTTGCCATTAGCATTGTTAGCTCAATGTTAGCCTCTAACCTGCTTCACACAATATTAGTGTAAAGAAATAGGATACTGGGGCTTCTTAGGGGTACTTCTTCTTCCGGCTCTTGGAGAGTACAGGCACTTTTTTCTCCTCTCCCTCCCTCTCTTATCCCAAGGCTCTTTGTCCTGTCTTGTGCACGGCACATTCTGCATTTTTTCTGGAAACTGGAAATAAAAATGGACATGGTCAGTTGATCTCTCAACGCGATTGACAGAATTTTTTCAACAATGAGAACGGGAGAAGGGGCTTCCGGATGCCTCTCTGGGACAGAGCCAGCTGGGTATATCATGGACTCCTCGAAACAGTGGAACCTGATCTGCCTCTCTCAACTGTCTGTAGAGGATTCTGAAGATGTCTGGATATTTGACATTTTGGTGTCAGGATTCCTGTTGTTTGGCCTGAGCGGTCACCTGGCTTACCGGAAAATTAACGAGCTTTCGAGGAATATTGGCTCAATCCCGGAGCTCAGGGATGGAATGCATCGTGCTGTGAACGCACAAACTCATATAATTGTCGAGATGAGTCGTAAGCTGGAACTTTGGCTGAGATTCAGGCTCTGGCACAAAAGGTGGATTCCATCAAGGAGCAAGTGGATGGATCAACACGAATTGGGATGGATTAATTACGCCTTTATTGGATTTAGTGGGGTTGAAGACCAGCAGAACTCTAAGGCAGAGAGGAAATTATTTCTGCCTGTCCCCAAAACAATTTTTATCTGAATCTGGTGCCCTTGGAGCCTGTGAGGCTGAAGTGATAACTCCCCCTCAGAAGAAATGTGGAATGCTGCCTTCGTAATGGTAACTCTTCTCCCTATTCCAGCTGGGCGGGACTGTGACCGGTGAAGGCCGTGGAACCGTATCTAGGAGTCACTGTGCTCTCTAACCCATCATCTCCCTGCCCTGTCCAAACAGAGGTGATGAGCCATGCCACATGCGGCTGCACGCACTGAAGTGAGGAGAGTCCCAACGCAACCTCCCCACCTAGTGGACACTAATGTTGTGTAATGTTTGAAGTCTGTGTGCATATACTTCTGAGATGTTTTTTTGCATAGCAAAACTACCCTCTCTGTGGGGTAACTCTGAAGTGCCTTTATTTCACTTCCCCCTGACTCAATCCTCATATAAACCCTCTTGATCTATTATGGTAGCGCGACTTGGGTTGCGAATGACCACAGTCACCAATTCTTGTCATGTGTCTATGTATGTACGTCTGATCTCAGAATTGTGTTTACTGAAACTCTAATTTACCTCTGAGATTAATAAAGTATTTTTGAATTGAATTTGAATTTGAATTGAAGAAATGACTTCTGGGTCACTCCTGTTTACTTGCTAACATACTGTCCACAACTTTGAGCATTAGCGCAGCACAGACTCGACAACCCCACAGTCTCACAGATTGTAAACAGTAACTACGTCCCTCTATAACTATTAACCCCCTAGCCGGCTGAGAAATAAATCTGTTTCAATGTAACCTTCCTTCCAACATGATTAGGACATTAGTCTGTTTTGTGATTATTTCATTGTAAATTCTTACATATTGTACCTTTAAGGCCAGAAGGGGTTTGATGGGAGTTTTTGTTGCACCCTTTACTTTAGATCACAAAAGTAGGCTACTGCAACAAAGTCAGACAAAAATATAATACAGGCTACCTTAAATAATGATAATTTTTTTCATGGATGCTAGGCTAGCATCAGCACTGACTGAACATAACAAAAGGTTTTTGTTTGTGAAATGAGCTCCTTAAATTTTAGGATTTGATCTTGATTTCAAAATGAGGTTGGAAATTTCAGAAAAGCTGCAACAGCAAATGCTGATAACACTAATAATGCTACTGTTAATAATAACGATGTTGGATTAGAAGAAGCAATACAATCATCTAGCTGTTAGCTTGTCGATCTCAACCTTTCTGTTTTCCAAACTGAAGTCGACAGAAAAGCTACAAGTGGGTGTTATTTGTTTTTAATCGTCTCACAGAAAACAGCTTTAAAAATCTTGCTCTGATTAAAACTTCTAATAAGTTCTAAACAATTAACAGGTTACATATGATTAATATCAATGTTAATTTCCACCCATCCATTTATATACCCGCTTATCCACGCAGGGTCGCAGGCCAATGTTTATTTAATTAGCAGGGGCTTTTCTGGCCGCAGTCTCCCTGGGGTCCCTGTGCTCTGGGGCAGTGCCTGGATCTCTGGGACTTGGAGCTCCTTCCATCTCCTACGCATCTTTGGGGGGGCGGATCTGTGGTCCCTCACACTCTCTATTGGATGCTCCTATAGAGAAACCTTACATAAACAAGCGTGTGTACACACACACACAGGTGCTCACATGGTGCTCTCATAAGTATGGACTTCGGCACGTTCTACACATGTCTTAAGGCTGCGGTTGGCACTAAATGCGCTGTGAGTTATTATTGTGTGATTGTTCAGTAAAACTGTTGATTTTATATTTCCTCATCAGGTTGACGCGGTGATAATTTGTTCCTGTTGTGTTTTGTGTGTCCCTTTTCTTTTTTCTCTCCTTCTGCAGGTCTAGAAGCACTCTTGTTCATCATTGATTGTTTATTTTTGTGAACACCCCCCCCCCCCCCCCCCTTCCTTTTGTCTCTTCCTTTCTCTTTCACCTCTGTCTCTGTGTCTGGTCGGAATTACAAAGCATCCAAAAAAACAATAACAACAAAATTTTAAGTAGGGATGTGCCAGTATCGGTATCGGTGCAGATACCGATACCTATACTGGTATCGGTATTGGTAAAAGTTAACCGATACCAGGAACCGATACCAATGCGGTTGCTTGAAAATGGCTTCACTGTAACTTGTCATTTCTGTTCACCTAATATTTTAGTTTAGTGATGATTTCCATTCATATATTTTACTTTTTATCTACCTCACAGTCTTTTCCTGTTGAAAGCAGAGAAGAAAATAAAATCTGTATTCAAAATCATTGCATTTTTTTGTGTGGTGGAGGTATAGGTATCGGTAATCGGTATCGGCAAATATTCAGATACAAGTATCGGTATGGTATCGGTTTGGAGTGGTATCGGTGCATCCCTAGTTTTAAGTATCAGGCTTGACATTAAAAGCAGAAGCTGTGAAGTAAGGCTTGTCACTTTGTTGTTGTTACTTTTATTTATTGTGTGAGGTTATAAGAGCATCAACGTTGATTTTGGTTCATCTGCAGTTTTTGTGTGACATCAAATTATTTAAGTATTTAAATGTTCCATTGACAACCAGGAACACAACTGTGGGAAAGACTTGGATTAAAGTTGTTAAATGTTAAGAGCTCATGTTTTTATTTATTTATTTATTTAGTTACTTATTTACTTATTTATTTGTTTGTTTATTTATTTATTTATTTATTGGCAGTGTGTTGGTCTGGGACTGTTTCGCTGCTTCTGGATCTGAATCAGTCACTGATTCTGCTGATCTTGTTCTCATGAGCTTCACCTCAAACTGTTGAATGTTCTTTCAGCATTCAGCCACCAGGTGTCAGCAGATCCAAAGAATAAATATTCTGAACTCTGGTTTTATGATGCACATAATTTGCCCCTTATGATTGTTTAGTTCACTGAATTTAGTAAAAAACAATTTTTATATTAGGTTAATAAAAGTGTTATTTACATAGATTCAAGCAAAAGTGTTGTTGTTCAGTCTTTTGGTCACACGTTTGATCTTTTTCCTCATATAATCAACTCTTTAAAACGACATTCCCATAATTTATTTATTTTTTTATTTTAGTAAAGTTTTAATGCATTGTAGCTGATTTAAGAAACAAATTGCTAAGAACCGGTTTTGGTCAGACACGGTTCTGGCTGATCTGGTCTAAGCTGCTGTGTTTTTACATCTGAACAAATGAAAGTGTCTGACCTGACCTCGTCTCTGCTGGTATTCCTATTATAACCACACCAGGTTGTAATTCTCTGAGTGACGGAAACGTTTTGGACAGAATAAAATCATTCAGCTATTATCTTTAATTCATATCCAGTTTCCTTGCAGGGTGTTTGATGTCAATAATATGGTTTTTATTTCATCCGTGTTCATGTGATATGATGAATAATCCGTATCCTACCTGTAGATTGCCCTTTGTACTGCCTCAGTCTGGAGAAACAGAGACTATTCTGCATGAAATCGGTAACCAAAAGTTCCTGCTGTCCTAAAACGTCTCTGATATCAAATATTTTAAAACCGTTCATTCTGACAGTCTTGAATTAACCGTTTCACTTCCATAACTTTCATTTGCACAAGAGATTAGCAGAGAAGCTAGCTACTGCAATCATTTTTTGGCAGAAATCCCAGAAAAAGTGTGACAATTTACAGGTAATGAAATGATCTTTGAATGAAATAGTCTTTGTCTTCAACGACATGTTTGTAAATGTTTAAAGACACTTTGTAAGTTGAAACTCACTTTTAAAGATCTGAACTT